GAGGGGGTAGGGGGAGGGGTAAACCCCTCCCCGAAGGGGAAGAAGGGGGGTTGAGGACAGAGAGAGCTCGCTAAACCACTCACGCCGAAGGGCTCGTGGGATTTACTAAAGAAAAGCGCCCTTGCGTTGGAATTTCTTGCCTTTTGTTCATGTTTACTCATTCGCAGCATTCCCGACGCGCAGGCGCCCAGGAGTCGCGGTCACGCTTCGGACTTCCTCGCAGATTACGTGGGAGTCGGGATCTCGCTGCCCTTCGTGGCCCCGTTGCAGCCCTTCGTGGCTCCCTCGCTGCCCTTCGTGGCCCCGTTGCAGCCCTTCGTGACCCTCTTGCTTTGTGGCGTGTCCCCTTTGCAGCCCTTCTTGGCCCCCTCGCTGTCTTGCGTGGCCCCGTTGTAGCCCTTCGTGGTCTCCTTGCTGCCCTTCGTGGCCCCGTTGCAGCCCTTCGTGCCTCCCTTGCTGCCCTTCGTGGCCCCGTTGCAGCCCTTCGTGGCCTCGTCGCTGCGCTCCGTGGACACGTTGCAGCCCTTCGTGACCCTCTCGCTTTGTGGCGTGTCCCCGTTGCAGCCCTTCTTGGCCCCCTCGCTGTCTTGCGTGGCCCCGTTGTAGCCCTTCGTGGCCTCCTTGCTGCCCTTCGTGGCCCCGTTGCAGCCCTTCGTGCCCCTTGCTGCCCTTCGTGGCCCCGTTGCAGCCCTTCGTGGCCTCGTCGCTGCGCTCCGTGGACACGTTGCAGCCCTTTGTGGCCCCCTCGCTGCCCTTCGTGGCCCCGTTGCAGCCCCTCGTGGCGTCCTCTTTGCGCTGCGTGGACACGTTCCATCCCCTCGTGGCCCCGGCGCATTGTATTGTTGCTTGGCACCGTTGCAGCCCTTCTTGACCCCTTCGCTGCCCTTCGTGGCCCCGTTGCAGCCCTTCGTGGCCCCCGCGGCTGCCCTTCGTGGCCCCGTTGCAGCGCCCCGTGGCCCCTTCGCTTTGTTTCGTGTTCCTGTTGGCGCCGTTCGCGGCCCCCTCGCTGCCCTTCGTGGCCCCGTTGCAGCCCTTCGTGGCCCCCTCGCTGCCCTTCGTGGATCCATGCATGCCCTTCGTGGCCCTTGCTCGTTCACGTCCGTCGTTGCCCCATATGCATGCCCTTCGTGGCCCCGCTCTCGCCCTTAGTGGCCCCCTCGCTGCCCTTCGTGACCCCGTTGCTGCCCGAAGTGGCCCCGTCCTGGCCCTCCGCGGCCCAATGTGCGTATGCCCTTCGTGGCCCGTTTGTTCGCGCCCATCGTGGCCCCACGTGGATGCCCTTTGTGGCCCCGCTGTCGCCCTTTGTGGCCGCCTCGCTGTCCTGCGTGGCCCAGTTGCTACTTCGTGGCCCCCGCTCGTCCGCGCTCGTCGTGGCCCCATGCGCATTCCTTTCGTGTCCCCACTCTCGCCCTTCGTGGCCTACTACGTGCCCTTCGTGGCCGTGCTGTCGTTCTCTCTCTCGCTCCCGCTCTCGCTCGTCGTCGTCGTCGCCGCCGCCGCCGTCGTCGTCGCCGTCGTCGTCGTCGTCGTCGTCGTCGTCGTCGTCGTCGTCGTCGTCGTCGTCGTCGTCGTCGTTGTCGCCGTCGCCGTCGTCGTCGTCGTCGTCGTCGTCGTCGTCGTCGTCGTCGTCGTGGTCGGTCCCCTGTCCGTCCCTCTTGGGGTCGGGTTGCCGCCGATCAGCGCTGCCGCTTGCCAGGCCGACAGTCCGCGGCCGCCCCGCCGCTTGCCAGGGCCCGGCCTGCAGGGAACAAAGGTATACCTCCCCGAAGGGGTACGATCGAAGACGAAGAGGGCGGGTATCGAGGGTTTCGGAAATACGCGTTAACAAACTCTCGAGCAGATAAGAGGGAACAGTCTTAAACTAATTGTTGTTGTGGTTTGCTCGCGTTGTTTTTGTTTGTGTTGTTGTTGATGATGATTGATGGTGGTGCCGCTGATAATGGTGGTGATGATGAGGATGATGATGCTGATGATGATGACGATGATGCTGATGATGATGCTGATGATGATGATGATGACGCTGATGATGATGATGATGATGATGATGATGATGATGATGATGATGATGATGATGATGATGATGATGATGAGATGATGATGATGATGAGATGAGGATGATGATGATGATGATGATGATGATGATGATGATGATGATGATGATGATGATGATGTTGTTGTTGTTGTTGAACATTATTAATTCTAAAGAATAATTATTGTTGGGCCCCCTGGTGCACGGCCCCCCTGCGCCGCCTAGGCCGCAGCTACATTTTCATCATTTTCGTGAGGAAGCCTCAGGTAATACGATGTCATCAAGATCCGGTTGTTTTGTTGTAATCCGTTTTCCCTTGCAAAAAACACTATAAAATGACATTTCTTGTTCTAATATAATCAAATTTCAAGAATCCCTTGCAAAAAATAAGGTAAAGTGGACATTCGCGCGCGCAAGACGAAATCCTTCCAAAAGCTTAGTGTTCGGAGCGATTTTAACATAAAAACATCAAAAAACCAATGGTTTTTCAACAAAAAAATGTCAAAATCTCATCCCGCGCGCTCTTGCGGATTCGTAGGAAACCCAACACTTTTTAAACATTTCTGTCAAACGGGCTTTTGCGAGCAACTTTTTCGAACTTCTGCGACAACGGTTGCGCACCTGCCAGGGCCATCATCCCTGTCAAATAATACCATGCGGGACACATTCGTTTTTTCTTCGCGCGCGCACGCCGAAATCTCCAAAAACCATTGGGCTTCTTAAGAATTTTAGCACCGCGCATCATAAAATCACACGAATCGCACCGTAGGTCATCGAAAAACACCTGCACGACTTTTCAAAATTCCACCCGCGCGCGCTGTCCGAATCCTAAAAAACCAATGGTTTTTTCAAAAACCAGTATAGGTGTCCAGTGTTGGAACAGGGGGAAAAGTCGTATACTAAGCTAGCGTCCAGAAAATGTTACCACAACAAGTCACTGTACCCATGCGCCAGTGTAGTAGCCACGGTCGTCCGCAGGCCACGACGTGAAGTGTCCGAACGTCATAGGGCGGGAAGCTGGGTGTGGGTGGTGGCGAAGAGTCGTTTGGAAATGTGGTAGAGCTTGAACCGGCCCCCCCACAAAGTGGGGGTATTGGCGGGCGTCGTATGAAAACCCTGGCACTGGTGAGAACACTGAGCGTTCGGGTGAAGTGATTGTTGTTGTTGTTGTTGTTGTTGTTGTTGTTGTTGTTGTTGTTGTTGTTGTTGTTGTTGGTGTTGAATGCAGCGGGCATGGCACTATGGCCTCTCCAGGGAGAGCCGCCATGGGGTGTTGCGTGGGTCTGGGACCAGTTGTTGAGGCCTCTCACGCAGAATGCTCGTTTCGGGGGGCTCGACGCGAGTCTGTCCAGAAGGCCCATGCCCGTCGCAACGTAGCAAGTTTTGTATTCTGGCCTCCCAAAGTGGGGAGGGGGGAGGCGGCGAGTTGGCCCCGGGAGACCCCAGAACAATACGGCCCATGAGGCACGAGGTGTCCCGGGGACACCCCTGATAGCTCACAGGAGGCCGAAGGAGACCCCACGAAAGCCCTGGAGTCCCCAAGAGGCCGAAAGAGGCCTTCACTTATGCTGGGGCTCTTCTTTAATATCCATTCATACTTAGACCCGCTCGTGCTCTGATTCACTCAAAGGTAGGCCCACTCATATCCAGTCGCTCATTCTCAGACACACTCACGGTCATACCCACTCACACGCAGGGCCATCCATATTCAGACCCATCCACATTGTGGCGCATATTCATATCCACTCACACTCAGGCTTGCCCGTTCCCAGCCGCGCATAGTCATACACGTTTATTCTCAGACTGCTGAGGCCCACTTGTATTCTCACGCGCTCATAGTATGGCCCGCTCATGTTCAACCTAGTCGCCCAAAGTCAGACTCACTCCGGGCCACATCCACCCATATGCAAGCACTTGTACCTAGACTCGCTCATACTCAGCCGCTCTCATTCTCAGACACTCAGACAAAACAGAGCAAGCCACGAGATGCAAATATCAAACATGGGCATCCCCGCTTCGAGCATTCTATGCTTGACCTGTCCCCCAACATGCATAGCCGTGCTGATATCTTTTTGCCATGTGGGGACCAAGCTGTGACCACGTGAATACGTCGGGCCACAGCAGAGTCCGAAGCATCGAGAAATGCCAGCAACATCGAACGACCAATTTTCCTAACGATTATGTTTCAAGAAGAGGCTGACACCTCCCTACTGGCACCTAGCCGTTCGGGCGAAGAGGCGAAGCTTTAGGTTTGCGACCGCCTATCTTAGTAGGGGTGCTCGCCTACCTTGATCGCAGCACTTGCGAGAGTTGTGCTCCAGTCACCTTCGGGCCGCTTGCGCAGGAGAGGCTGCCACGGGGATCCGCCTTTTCTCCGTTTTCTGTGGCTCTGAGACAGGGTGTGTTTTTCGATACCTTGTGGGTGGCCGCTTCTGCCGCACCCAGCCGCGCAGCGTTTGCAATGGCGGCGCTCGAGGTGCTTCTGGACCCTGGCGGCTATGCTTGTAGTCTGGTGTGTTCTCTTTCACATACTGGCGGAGGAAGAAGAGGAACGAGGCTGGAGGAATACGGAGGTGTCAGCTTTCTCGTTCAGGCCGGTCCCTAGCAGAAGAGCGCCGTGGAGAGGCGGATCATGCCTCCTCCTCGCCCTCGCCCTCCGCCTCGGCCTCATCCCTTCTCCCCTCTCCTCCACTTCCTCAACCTGCTCCTGGTTGCGATTGCCCTGCGGTCGATTCGGGGCGCACGGTCTGGCACATCCATCCGCACCTGCTCGTCTTTCAGGTCCCATCACATTGTTTTTTTTCCTGGGCTGCCGCAGCCGCTGTCGAGTCCACCCTGCACCGCCGTGCATCTCAGCGCGTCCCTGCTCCACACATGCTTCCGTCCCCTGTTCGCCCTATGCTGATTCGCCTGCACCCTCACGACCCGATCCCTGGAAAACACCTCGCCTTCCTTGTGGGCTTTTCCCGAGGTGCCCGATGGAGTTGAGCTGAACGGCTGCGAAGATGAGTTTGACGCCAAGGAGGCTGCGGGGGCGCTGATCAGCCCGCACTGGATCTCATAGCCTTCCTTGTAGACGCTTCGCCCAACCCCACCTGCCCATCCAGAAATGATGCCCAGGGGAGTTACCCTGATTAGAGATGTGGAGGAGCATGCAGTGGAATGAAGGGCCAGGGAAGCCGTCATACCCAAAGAGAGGGAGGACGGAGGCGGGATCGGAGGAGGAGGAGGAGGAGAAGGAGGAGGAGGAGGAACGGGAGGTGGAGGGGGAGGGGGATGAGGGATGAACGCTCGTCCCGAGAATAGAGGAAGCACACACGTGAACACAAAGTGATCACACGAGCGGTGCGTGCACAACAGGGACTAGAGAGGCAACGAAAGGCTGGAAGGTGGAGATGCCCACAATGACATAGAGAGGCGCACAACGGCAAGGTGCCCCCTTCTCCTCCCCCTCCTCGGGTGCCTCCACCAGGTCACTTGGGGAGAGCGATGCAAGACTTTGTTGCCGCCTGGTTTGCGAAGCCCGATTCTTCCTACCATCACCGAGATTGGGATCATCTCCCCTCCGTGGAGGCAACCGCCGGTATTGGTGTTGGTGCCAACCTCTGAGCCTCCCACCTCTCCATCCTCGTCCTCCCTCCTCCTCCCCCCCTTCTCCACTCATGAACATTGCAGCCTCAATGCAGAGTGTGAGTTAGCGACGTCTCTGCCATGAGCTCAGTGAGTCTGCCTCTATCCCTGGCGCGTTAAACCACCTCCATGAGTCTACATTTCCCGACGTCCTGCGTATGAGATGCGGCATGGAATATGCACCATGGTCGTACGGTGCTATCGTCCGCGCGCCAAGATCGGACGTGTGGGCATTTGTTGTTGATTTTTTGTTCGCGATGCGGTATATACGTTGACTTGCTGCATCACAGTTGAATCTTCCTCCCGATCTTTTACGTGTCAGGCAGAGAAGAGTGGCAGATTCAGCAAGGATGATCCCCTCCAGGACGGCGGTGCCTTAAGCATTTGACATTTGACTAATTGCTCTTCCTCCTCGCTGAGCTGCAGGGCTGCTTCTGTGGCTTGATGCCATCACCAGTCATGATCCTGCTTGCCCTTTTTCCACATCCCTGCCACTCCCGCTTCTGCGTGCCATTGTCTCACTCGTCGCCTTTGGCAGTGCCAGCATGATGTGCCTGGTGATTGTCGACTCGCTACCCTCGCTTCTGAACGGCACGGCCGTTCGAGACCGCGAACGCGAGCCTGACTCCATGTGGTGACGCTCGGCTGGTATGGTTCCGTGGGGCATGCGTTTAAGGTCGTGTGCTTGCTGCAACCTCTGGGTTTTTATAGTGTAGTTTGATCACGCTTGGCGGTATTTCGGGTGGACGGTCCCTGGAATTCCCTCTGCTTGGCTGTGCGTCGACGTATACGGGATGCAGCGAGCAGTATCCTCAGCCAGTGTGTGCTTCTACCTGGTGCCGACTCGTAGTTTTTTTCACGTTTCGCCTATCCCCACCAGCCCATTCAGAAACCCTGCTGATGAAAGCTGACGGGAAGCGGGCCGACGAGATCCTGAATCGATGCTCAAGCGAGTTGCTTTCTTCAGGGAAGTGCAGAAGCGTGCAGTTGAACATCTGCCAGGAGAGGTATGAGAAGGAGCAAACGGAAGAGGAGTCGGAGGATGAGGAGGATGGCGAGGCCGAGGAACGAGGAAGAAGAGGAGGACGAGGAGGAGGACGAGGAGGACAACGATGACTAACATAACGAGGATAAGGAGAACGAGGAGGGGGATGATAAGGAGGAGGAGGACGAGGAGAATGAGGAGGGTGATCTGGAGGAGAAGGAGGATGAAACCCTGAAGTCAATGAACGCATACACTGATGTATTTAGCGTATGCGCAAAGTTTTCGGGAAGGCTTACGGTGCCGACCCTTTGATCTCGGGCAGGCTTCGGGTGCCTGAGCCCTATAAAGTCGAAATGAGTATGGTGCCTCTCCGTGCCCTCCCCGTCCCACGCACAGGGACGTCGCACCCTCCCCTGTGGTGGGAGTGTGGGTGTGCGGGCCGCCCCCCTGACGCCGCACGTACTGCGCCAGGGGTGGTGGGGATGTCCGTTGAAGCCAACGAGTTTCATGAAGCCCCTCCCGCCCGTCCCACCCCCCACACCTGGTCGCCGCTGGAAGCCCTATGGTGGCCTCAAGTGCGGTCGGGTGGCATCGCCCAACGGTGGCTGATGCACCCGGCCCGCTGCCGAGCCCTATGGTGGCTCTGGCCAGGGGGACGGCACAAAAATAGCGAGGCGGTCCACAGGCGGGGAGTCACGCCGCAGCCGCAGCCACCTCGCGGCGTCACGCCCCCGTCGAACACCTCGCTCCTACTCCCCCAAAATTGCGATGGCAAGGGCTCTGGCAGCCATTTTGCGGTCTTCGTGAGGCCTTTTGGGGGTCCTCTTGGGGCTTTCTCTTGGGTCCTGTTCAAGGGGTTTTGGGGTCCTCCTGGGGCCGTCCTTGGAGCCCTGGATGGCCTCTTGGGCCATCTTGGAGGCCATCGGTCAACAACAATGGGGGTCCCTACTTCGACTCCTCCGGAGCCTTCGACACACCCTCTTGGGGCCCTCTTGGGGGCGCTCTTGGGCGCTCTTGGCGCCGTCTAGGCGGCATCGCGGACATCTCTTGGGGCTCTCTCGGACCATCTTGGGGCCATCTTGAGGGCCCCGAAGCCAATCGGTTGCCAAAAGGCGAGACCGCGAGCGTCAAGATTTTCGTAGGGTTTTTGAGCGATTTTGGCTTCCTGGGGAGGTCATGAGGGGGCTCCGAGAGCACTTGGGGCAGTCTTGGAGCGGTGGGGCCTCTTGGAGCATACTGGAAGGCAGTTTGAGCCATCGTCGGCTATCTTGTTCTTTTGGAGGCCATCGTGGAGCATCGCAGGCCCTCTTGGAGTCATATTGGGCGAGAAAGGGACCTCTGACACATCGTGGACCCCCAAAAAACCTCAGGGAGGCGAGGGGAAGGATACCCGAAAGGAACATGGGGTTTTGGACGACACTGTTAGACCACCTACGTCCAGAGGGCTGGTGGGATTTAGCTATGATTTCTGACATCGTGTGACCATGCAATCCAGAAGCGTCACAATCAAGGCTAGCAGCGTCGAACAACAAGCGTGGGCCACGGAGAGGGGCCGTCATTTGCAGCCATCGGGTTTGTCAAGTGTGGGAAGTGTTAGAGTTTATTTCGGTTTTACGGGAGACCATCAGACATCGATTTCTGATTCGTTTCAAGAATTGATGTAAACCCCTCCAATTTTTCCCAACCATCGTGTGGTGTTGGGTTCCCGTTTTGAAGAGACAGCACCCTGCGTCCTCGCCTCTCTCTCTCTCTCTCCCGCAGCGCTGCCGAGCGTCTCCCACAAGACGCCACCCCGCGCTCGACGCGCGCGGGCGCGATCGGGTCCAGGGCGGGCCCAACCCGTTCTGGAGGGGGGGGAGGAGGATGAGAAAGGCCACCCACGCACTCTTGCTACGCCACCTGAGGCCGTCAAGGAGGGGGGGAGGTTGGTAGAGCGGTGCGGCCATTCAGTCGGGGCGGATATACAAACCGTAGGTGTCGTACCTTGCTAGTAAAGCTGTGCACGGAGTGGCTTGTCTATCACATCGTCGACGTAATAACGCCACAAGCTTATGGTCATGTTGTACACGGCATCAGTAGCGACGTACCGGCGGTTGACTCTGAGAAGGAGCTTGGTGTTGAGGTACATGCATCCTGAGACCTCGTTGTCCTCTTCCAGGGAGCAACCACGGGCAGGCCTCGATTGCCCGTAGAGGAGCCGTTGTGGGCGGCGCTTGTTGTGGTACCCCGTCGGAGTGTGCAGCGTTCCTGCGTGATCGCGTTGCCGAACTTGTCGATCAGGTCCACAATGTATTTGGCACCACCCAGGAGGGTAGGTTGGTAGCGTGGTTCATATACAGGTCGCAGTCGTTCTGGTCCATGTGGTATCTTCCGAGGTGCGTCTACTCTACCTGAGACAAGTCTTGCTGCTGGAGGAAGAGTTTCGCCACGATAGCTTTCACAGAACTGTCAATGAGAGGTACTCCAGTATCGATGTCCAGGGTGACGTAATCTTCCCTCTCTAGATCCCACGGTGATGTAGTACTGGGAACGTAATGTGGTATAAAATGGGTAAGGTCCAACTAGCATGTAGTTTTTGGAGGTGTGCCAACATCCGTCCCATAATGGTTGTGGCGGGTTTTGTTCACAGTGTAGACCATGGGGACGAGCATCATCTTGAACTTCGCATTTATCTTCGAAGCATGTGGCTCTGTATATGTCAACGTCGTTGTCGTAGAGGTCTTTGAACTAATGACGTAGTGCAGCTTGAATGTCTCGATCTTGAAGTCATATCTGCCACCACCACCTTTGATACCTTTGAAGCGAGTTGTATGTACTTTCTTGGTAGGGTAGGTCACGTAGCTAAATTCTTGCCTCTGCTAAGAATAGCTGTTCGCCTACTGCGTCGTCCTTGACGCGTTGGTAGTTTGTAGAGCATATGTCGTAAGGCGTATGGATGTGTGTAGACAGTACTTGAACCAGTAGCTGCATACTATTAACATGTGAGCTCGATTGATAGGTCCAATATTATTGTTTGATCCTCGCATCGCGTTTTAGCTTGTGCCGATGGCGTTGATGTTAGGCGGGTGGGTGGGTGGCCAACGGGTACAACTAATGGTGTAGGCATCCTCGCGGTTGTTTTGTGGTATCTATGCTAGCGTATACCGTGTATACCAAATGCTACCAGTACTTGCACATATGTACGGATGGTGTAATTCGGGGGGAGGTGGAGGAGCGAGGGAGATGTTCTTTTGTTGATTTAGTCGAGCAGGGGAATGTACTCGTAGCGAGCGAGGCACTCGGCGCTGTGGTACACGGTGGACTCATTCAGGACGGTTTGTGGCGCTTGTCCTGGTGGATAACGTTCTGCTCGTCCGTGCTCTTCTTGACGTCCATCACTCGATCTTCGTCGGGGTCAGGTCCTGGTCGGTATCATGGCCGATGTCATCCGCGATGTAGTGGGCCTCGAATGTGGTATCCATGAAGCGCACGGAGTTGTAGTCCACGTCGTAGTCCTTCGCGTCGGTGGAGGGAAACAGTTAGTGATCACCCCCCCTGCCCCCCAAACTAAAAGCTGGCACGCGCGGGTAGACTACGGTCGAGGTGCAACTCATCAGACCCACCGCCAACTTTGAGCGTTGGGGGGAGTGGGAGTCGTTGACAGATGAATGTGGCATGAGTGTTCGCTATTTTTTCCGAGGCCTGGTCTTCCCCAGCTGCCCTCCGCGATGTACACACAATGTCCATCACGCATGCGGATGTAGTAGTGCGTATCATTGGTGACGAGTGGATTGTAGTGGACGTTGGATGTCGTAGCCGCGCGAACACCCTGGGAACAGAAGGTTGTACACGACGATTCGGTTCCATTACTTGGTCTCGTAGTTGTACTTTGTCTTGAAGATCTTGGATTGCATATTGTCCTTCAGTAGACAATTAGGTAATCATCCATGGGCTCGTAGTAGATCTTGACTTTAATCTCGGCCGGGTAGTCCTGCGTCGTCATGTGCACGTACCATCGGTTTGACACTGGGAATTTTTGACGAAGATGCTCGAGGTCGTAGTCCTCGTCGAGCACGGACCCTTTGCGCCGGTCGATTGTGTGCATGCCCTCCTTGTCGTCCTCGCTGGCCTTGTAGAAGGTTAGGAGCTTGTTCTGGTTCTTCTTTACGTGTTGCTTGACTGCGTTCTCCACGTCGCCAATCCGAAAGAACACACCGTCCGTGTTGTTGTAGTCGTTGTGCTCGACAGTGTGTACCTCAACGGGGGTCTGGATCCACTGGTTGGTTTCCTGTGGCGTCGTAGATGGCGTCGAGATCGAATTGGCGTCGTAGATGTCAACTTCCCTGTGCCTGGTCTCTTGCTTGGCCCTGTTGACGATCTCATAGGTGTTGTATTTTTGC